GGTCTCCAGTGTAAAAGAGACGTGTGTATCGATGGAAGTTAGATATATTTATGATCTTGAGATATTATCTTGTTCAACGGTCAGCGAACCATAATGAGCAAGTCAGAGTTCAATCCCCACTTAAGAAACAATACAGAGTATCGCGAACGACAACTTTCGCTTTAATGAATGGCGGTTTTCAAAAGTTAATGACGATATAAATGGCTTAGAATCACGCGCGTTTTTAATTTAGGACGAATTCAAGATGATAAAAAAAAAAATCGCAACGGGGATACAGATTCGAAACTGTGAAAAAAAGCAAGAGGCTCGGTCCCCATTTCGATCCGCTCAGCAACCTCCGTGATTGCTTTTCATTCGATATTTTCCACAAAAACAAGGAACATTTTGTTAATAAAATCTATAACTACTATCATTTTTTTGTAAGAACATTTTACTATGTTAATTGTAACGAAATTAAAAATAATTACCTTGATATGAAAATTAATTGAATGTACTTTAAAGAGAAAAATTAAACTCCTAATGTGTATACATTCGGAGTGTATACACATTCGAAAGAAAAAATAATAAGGAAAAATAAATTAGAAGTAATTATCACATATTAAAGTAACATATCATTACAAAAGTTCCAATAGGAAACGTTTTTTTCTTTCTTTTTCTTCTCTAGAATTAAACTTCTAAATATTTTGAAAATATACTTTAAAATTACAATAGCTTTCGTACAAATTGGAATTTTGAAGAAGAAAAAAAACTCTTTCAGTTGATAAATAAAAAAGACTCTTTAAGCTGCAGAGCGACCCACATGGTATTTTTTACTGCAAGTTTAACAGTTATTTGTAATTAATCTCGGTCTACGCTAATTATCGAATGATAATTTTTTTATTTCATGCATTGTAATCCCTGAACATTTCGCTACACATCTGAATAGTTTAAAATTTCTAAGTCTTATAGTTTTTTAAAAGCAAAACAAAATGTCGTGTAAAGTTGAGCACTTAAAACAGCTACTCCCAATTCTGTTCTCTTTTTTTCTTAATACAGAGAAAATCGATATTTATATGCGTTAAAAAATATTATAAGTTTGTTCGGACTTAATTTTTGGTACTCAAAGACTGTTTTTCAGAACGCTTTTTCCGCATATGAAATAAAAGATTTTTAGTGAATATATAATAAACTTTTTTAATAACTCTTTTGAGTTTGTTACAGTAAGTCATGACTGCAAGATGGAACTAACGGCATTTGCCTTACATGGTGAGGAAAACCACGAAATCTCCTCCCACGGTAAGCTTGACTGCACGGGGACTCTAAACCAGGATCCGTCTACCACTGAGGATATATTATGTCACCTCTGTGGTCGCCGCAAGCCGGATGCTGAATCCGTATCAACCAGCCATCGCTGGGATTCGTACCCGGTTCACCTCATTGGAAGGCGAACGCTCTATCCTCTGAGCGATCCCTGCTCAAGTCACGTGATTTTATATTATAATTATAACCGTCGTTGAACAGCCGACCCAATTTTATGGGTTTACAACTACTAATGTTCAACTCCGTAGCCTTGCAATTTTGAACCCAATCCAGAGGACAAGGGAACTCCTGGATCAAGTACTGAGAGAAGTTTGCCTTTGTGGGGGACTTTTTGACAGAATTAACCAGTATTTGTGTTGCACGGGGAGGAAAATCACGAACACCTCCCACGGTTGGCCTGACGACAAGGGCAATCTTATCCCATGATCCGTCTACCATTGAGGATATTTTACATGAGCACTGTGGTCGGTACGAGTCGGATGCGGAATTCGTATCAACCAGCCATCGCTAGGATTCAATCTCGGTTCGCCTCGTTGGAAGGCAAACGCTCTATCCCCTGGGCGAGTGTTTATTTTTATGTTTTATGCATTGTGTTCTCTGTGTGTCTATGTTGCAATAAAATTGTCTTTTAAAACTGGCATGGTAATTCTTGGACAATTGTTTTCCCAAGAAAGAATCTACACTTTTTTTTTTGTTGTAGAAAAACGTAGCCGAACTTTTTTTTCTTGAAGTGAAACCCCTTATTTTTTTAAAAACTAATTTCCTATTATTATTTAATTCAGAAGTAATCATAGAATCATCAGAAATAATCTTCATGAGTTATGGGATAAAAGTCAGGAGTTCCAATCAACTTTTCTCTTTTATTTTTATCAATAAAAGTTGTAGCCGATAGATACGCCAGCTTCTCTCTGCAGCCAGTGGAACAATGACATGAATAAAATATTCGAAATGAAAGGCGACATGAGGCCTAATTGACCATTACCCCAATGGCTTAATTCATCTCTTTAGTAAATACAAAGTGACGTCTTAAGCCTTTCTGCGTCATCCCATTTGGAGGGGGAAGTTAAAAATAGTTGGAATGGGGAGGTCCTCAGAGAAAACAAACAGAATTAATTGCAGAGAAAAGTATAAAAATGAAGACCTGAGACTTTGACCTTACGATTTTTTTGTCACACGAAAGCGTCATAAGTCACGTGACTAAAACATGGGGAGGAGAATGACGCAACAGCTGACTCGGAGAGCCTTTCCGGCTTTCTTGTCAATATGCCAGCTTTCCGATCTTGCAATTGGGAGGGCTAGAACAAAATAAAGGAGGACGGAAGGAGTTTTCAACAACAGACGATTTAAAAGTAATACTTCCGTTAATAATTCAAAACTTAGATGCGGCAGACAATTTTTTTAAAAAAAATTCCGAATACATTAGACTTCATGTCTTAAGTCTATCAACATGGATTGTACTTAAATAAAACGCAAGGTTTTATTTTTAAATAAATCGACATTTCCATATTGGAGTTGGGCGATATATCGTGGAGCATCGATCTTTTTAAACACGGCGATAACGATACTTGAAATTGTATTCTCGGAATATGTCGTGATTACTATGTCCTACAATAAATATTGAATATACGATAATTATCAACTATAATAACGCGACGATTATCGATACTATCAACGATAATTTAAAGCGATTATTATCAAATACGATAAAAATGGTGATCATTATCGACACTATTTAAACATCACACTATTTCGAATAACGATGATAATGAAATGCATTTTGCCACGAATTTTGCAAAAAAGATAATGATCGAATATAATATTATCTTGAATGATATAAATTTCATTTGGTAAAAAAAATACCGAATAATGAAGAAATAATATAAATTATTTTTAAATTAAGGATATTTCCCGATATATCATAAAATATCGATATCTTTTGATGTTATATCGATACTTTATGGTGTATATCATGGCGATACGTCAATATTAAGATCTTGATATCACATCAACTCCATCTGCAGTCTACTTTTATAGTAATTTTTCTTCTTTATTTCAGAGCTTTTCAAACTGTGGGGATGTGACCCACAAAGATCTGTTGCGCTAACTACAATTGCCAAGGTGCCAAATAGATTTTAAACTTGCATTTTTTAAAATAAAAAAATAAAAACATGCAGATGTTTGGCCGGGAATAGTTACGAGCTATACCTTTCGAGTTGGTCCCTTTCTATGATGTTTTTTCCAGTTTCTCGCTGGCCCCTGTCCGGAAGGGTTCAAGACATGGCGATTATTCTGCCACAGATCACAATACGGAAATCTCCCCGTAGGGATAATCGTCAAAAGAAAACGGGCTATTAATAATTTAAATAAACGAATAAAAAATGACTTGTAAAAACAATAATGATCATCTTTATATTCCGATGTTTTTATTATACTTAAAAATACAAATTAATGGAAAAAATGAAAAGAAGTTTTATATAAATAATTAAAACTAGAAAAAAATTGAAGTGACTTTCTTAAAAAAAAAAAATATTTCTTAGGCTCTCTGAACTTATCTCATTTTTAATTGATTTCCTTAAAACACCTTTTATACTAAAAGTTTCCGATGCACTTAATATTCTTTTTATAACGATTATGATGAATTAAATAACACTCGTACTTTTTTTCTTGTCTAATATTTTAAAAAATGAATACTATTAAAACAATAGAATTGTTGGTTGTTAAATTTGTAATCAAATCGGTAAAAAAAAAAAAAAGAAGTTGTCGTGTTTTCTCACATTAAAAACACCGTTTTCAGGAAACGCCATAAAAAGTTAGCGAAAATTAATCGCATCCATGCATGCGATGCGTCAATACAAATAAAGTTTAGAATCGATTTTTAGAGTAGAAAAAAATGCTGACACTTTTCTCATACTTTACTTACTTTTTCTTCATACTCATACTTTAAATATTCATACTTTTTTCTTGTCCAATATTTTAAAAAAAAGAATACAATTAAAGCAACAGAATTGTTGGTTGTTGAATTTCTAATCAAATCGGTTGAAAAAGAGAGAAGTTGTCGTGTTTGCTCACATTAAAAACACTGCTTTCAGAAAATGTCATATAAAGTTAGCGAAAATTAATCGCATCCATGCACGCTATGCGTCAATACAAAGAAAGTTCGTAATCGATTTCTAGTGTAGAAAAAAAATAAATGCTAATACTTTTGTGAAAATGCAAGAAAATTTTATACGGCGCATATATTTTCAGGAATCAATTCACTTGATGATTAAATAAAGTAATCTTTGTTATTTTTAAACTCATTACCACAGTAAAGTTATTAATATTTAAAACACTTTTTGTGAAACGTCACCGCTCATCACCTCATTTGCTAAATGCGGTGTCAGACACAGGGGTAATCAATTCACTTACTCATTTCATGAGATAACATTTTATCTTTAATCGTTAAAAATAATAAGATAACCACAAGACTGCATTGATAAATAACAGCCTCAATTCTGTTATTGACTCAGTTGGGTAGAAATCCGATTTCCAATAACTTTTTTAATGATTATGAAATTATTTGTTTGCACAACATTTGAACTAATTCAATTTTATTTCAAGCCTGTAGTAGGTTGGAAAATTTAACTTCGTTTACGGATAAACTGAGTAATTCTCATGAGAGGCTACATTTTCCAGAACAAAATAAATTTAAAAAAACTCACCTTATACAGGAAACATGAATTTAAATGCGGTTTTATGTACCTGTAAATAAAAAACAGAAAGGAATTTCTAAGTAAACGAGCATGATTTATTTTAAGAAATTCACATTTTTATAAACATTAAAAACAAATTGGTTCAGGTTAAATAATAATAATTAATGACACAATAATTTTTTTTTTGAACCGTTGAAGTGCGGGAATTTAACGAAACGTTCAAATGTTTCCCAATAAATAAAAAACAATACTTGCAAAGTAATATTATTCAATTTTGACACCCTGATAAAAATGTAGCAATTTATTTCCTTGATCCCCCTTTGTTTACTGAGGTTGCAGCTGATTCTATGACATTTGCACGTTTACAAAAGAAGAAAAAAATTCAGATATTATTCGTTACTTTTGAAAGATTTATTTCTTCATTAATTAAAAAAACACATTTGAATTAAAAAGAATGAAAAAAAATTTGATTCCTTTGATGATTGTAATTCATTTTCAATTGAAATCCTATTTTCTTTTGAATCAAATTTTAAACAAAATAATTTTCAAAAACTATTCATCTAAAGCAGGGGTTGCCAAACTTTTTTGATCGTCGACCCCTACATAATTTTTCGAAATCTCCATCGACCCCCATAAAAGTAATTTTCTGTTAATTAAAATAAAACTCTATTAGATACTGTGTTTGTACATTTATTTTATGATTTTGAACATTTATTAAAGTAATAGTACATAGTGTAACAAAAGTTTTATGAAAAATATATTAATGTTGAAATATAAATACCTTAATATTTATGAAATAATAAGTAATTATAAGTAAGTAGAAATAATAAGTAAAGTAACTACGGATTTATTGCTTCTTAATCAATGACATGGGTGTGCCTGGTGTTTTTTTTTCTTCAAGGTTCGTTATATTGGGTTCAAAATTGGTCAATTTTAATCTTAAATCCCCTCGAAACTCCACATTTAATTTATTTCTGTTCTTAGTTAAGATTGAATTTACGTGACTGAAACCGGCTTCAACCATATAGGAACTTGGAAATGCTATCATAAATGGCTGAGCTATTTCGTAAAGTCTTACATATTTTTGCATTATATTTATATTTGTCCAAAATTTGCTTATTGTTAAATTTTTAAAAAGCGTCTTTGCTTCAAATCCCCATAATAATTCAGCAAGCTCATCTTGCAGGTTGATGTCCACGTTTTCAATTTGAGCAGAAAATGGCACAATAATCCAATCAGGGATGTCAATGTTTTCCAAATCAACAAAACGCAGTTTAAAATCGTCGCTCAATTTTTGAAGATTACCTGTATATATTTCCAAGTCGTCTTCTTTTATTTCTAATTGTCACATATCTGAAAAATACTGATAATCCTTCGACCAATCGACCCTTCCGGTTCGGATCGACCCCCATTCGACCCCCTGGCTCAGATCGACCCCCGCTTATGTTAAATAGACCCCTGGGGGTCTATATAGACCACTTTGGCGACCTCTGATCTAAAGTCTTTCAAACTTTTACCATTTTATATTACAGTCTGATATAACGCGAATACTTTAGTAATTCAACATTTTTCAATGATAATTATATTTTTAAAAATAAATAAGTATTTTAAATTATTTTTGCTTGAAATTATTGTAGGATAAACGAATTTTATAGTTAAATGGAGGAAACTTGCTTCACTTTTCATAATCAGTTTCTTTTACTAAAAAAAAAAAAAAAATGGTTCACCGTGATTTAACAATTGGAACAATATTTTTTCAATACAGCTCACACTTGTAAGAAAAAGGGATACCGATCCGACGTAAAATGGAGAATAATTAAAACAGGTCGTTTTTTTTTTGCTCGATAATATGAGGGTTGTTTGTTGCGTACACTATTAGGTGAGTACTTTTGAATGGAGACCTATTGGGCATTTTAATGAAAATTCCGTTTTCCAGAGTCTTTTTCTGCGTTAATATACTTTATCATCTAATAATTTCAAAATAAAAAAGAAACACACGAGAAAAAATAGCCGGTTCTTTATTTAAATAGTCACACTTTTTTTTTTTTTTTTTTTTACTCTCCTGGGGGCAAGTAGTTATTTTCAGGTTTACCTCTATGCAAATTAGTAGAAGATTTTTTTTCTCCACTTCAGCAATGTAAAGGTCTCAACTAACAGCGTCAAGTTATCTGAAGGAATATTTAGATATGGAATATTATGCTTGCAAGTTCAACTGTGAATTTTCGCCTTCATTTGAGCTCTATTATTTCAATATTTAGCTCAATATCTTGTGATACCTTGTTTAACATCAATATCTAGTAAGTTATTTTAAACTGCAAAGACTATAAAAAAAGAGCCGAGGAACAAACCTTTGTTCTCGTTGAGTGATTAGAAGACTTTAAACTTATCCTAAAACAAAATAAAAACAAATTTTCTCCAAAAATGAATTTAGACAGTAAAAACGCCAGGCGAAATTACTTTGTTCACCATGATAAGATGCTGTATAAACAAAAAATACTCTTCCTTTAAATAAAAAAAAGGGGGAAAAAAAGCAGAATTTTCAATTATAGAAAGATAAAAACTTTCCTAGAATAGATAAATATTTACTTAGACCCATACAATATTTTTAATAAGAGATAAGAACAGTATTTATTTAATGTTGCAGTTAGAAAACGAATATTCTTGATCTTTTTAAGTAAAAACATTAAATGAATAAATTTAATAAAGGTTATGTCTCTAAATATTCTAACATCTGAGTTAAAAAGGTAATTCTGAAAGTATAGTCACAAAAATGTTTTGCATTCATTAAGAAAATCAAAAGGTTTTAATGCCAGATTATCAAAGAATTGAAAATTTATCATTCATATAACCTGAATTATGAACACAAAAAAAATATTTTCATAAAAGATTGAATTCTATTTCTGATTGTAATAAACTTTTTTTTCTCTCTTTATCAAAAACAGTCGCTGCAAAATTTTGATAACGGAATGTTCTTAAAACATTTCTCTAGAAATGAGCAAATTTATAACATGTTTCATAAAATACTTTTTGAGTTATGACAATAAGAAGAGCGCTCTGAGAAAATTAACTTCATTTGTTTACAGATACGATTCCCAAAAAGTGTTACGCGAAGCTCAAGGGTTCCGTGGTAGGGTTCCAAGGGTTCCGAGAGTTTGGATTTTTTTAAACCGGAAATTATATTTAGAGCTAATCATTAATACATAAAATATTTAATAAATCGCTCGTTTATATGAACTTATTTATATAAAAAGGCCAACAAATTTTAAAAAGTGTTGGCCGTGGCAAAAATTTAAAAAAAATTTAATAACAATGCATTTAATAAATTATGAAAAAGTTAAAAAATTTAATTGGTCTCATAGAGCTTTTCAATTCAAAATGAAATAACTAAATTCAAGAATGAAGAATTACACTCCTCCAATAACTATTCAAAGTTTATAACAGTTCTTTTTTTCGAAAACCGTGATTCAGCTTCATTTTCAGCATTACACGGCACAACCATTTTTAGGTGGCTCATTAATAAATCAAATAATAAAAATAAAATTAAAATTAATGAGTTACGCAGTGCTTCATCTGGTGTTCAAATCATTTCATAACCTTAAATCTAATCCTTCATACTTTTTAGTTTCACATTTAAAAATAAAGTGAAAAGAAATAATTTTAGAGGGCAAATTTAAAAATGTAACTCATTAATATTCCAACATCCGCTGATACCATAAAATAAAAATTATCATGTTTCCAGGTCATTAAAGTTTATTTTGAGAAAATCCGAACTTCCGGAATAGAAGTACGATTATAAACACTAATCCCAGCCTCGACGGAAAAGAAGAAAAATAAATAACAAAACGCTTGCGACTAATAACTTAAGTGCTAGTTTTAGTCTCAAAGCATATTCATTTTTCAACTCTTTAAGATACCTGAAATTGTTTTTTGAAAAATAAAACACCAGAATTGTAAAATTTTAGTTTGACTCTAGTAGAATAATTTATTGAAATGAATTTTTACATCAATTTGTTAACTTGGTGGAGTTAGCGTTGAAAAACACGACCATTCAAAGAGTTAAAAGATGTTTTAAAGGAGAGTATGCTCTCCTTTGGAGGTCTGAGCCCAGAGAATTGTAATCCAAGTCCGACCGAGACGGACATATACGTCGGACAAAGGCCAAATGTCGCGCTCTTGCCATTTGGTCTTAGGTGGCTAAATACGGAAATTGATCACTAAAACCTTTTTTCTAGTGATGAAAGAATCGGACTCCAGACCGAAGGGGCCGGGGTTCGATTTTCGACTCCGCTAAGATCGAGTACATGTGATATAGGTGGTCGTAAATCTGTGGAATCAACAGTCGAATCAACAGTATTCGATCACTAAACCGTACCATGGGTACAGAGATCTGGAGAAACTTTCCATTCAGATATATGTCTAAATTGAGGAAGTGACCTCACGAATGAGTGGTGATGCCATCTATCCATACAGATCTATGGTAAAACGTACTTTCACCCTTATGGTGCTCTCCTGTAAAACGAAAGCCGCACCTTCCAGACTTAATTGGCAAAAAGCCTATGATTGGCGAGCTTGGCTTGTCTAAGTGTCGCTAGAAACAACAACGCAAAAAGCGAAGAGAAAAATCTAGAATTAAATGCAAAAGGGAAATGTCGAAGAGGAATTATCAGCAACAGCAAACTTTCAAGTTTTTTTATCGTGTGTAGGATTCCCAATTTTTTAACCCTCTTCGCAAACCTTTAAGTTTACGAATGAAATCAAGACTGTGATTAAACTGAAATCTTTAAGACTGAAACAGCAAAATAACTAAAAAAAATTAAAAAAGAAAATTCAAATAAAGCATCATTTGTATCCAGCGAATACCACTCTTAACCATCACGAAGGCCTATGCTACAACGAGCACAGAGGCAATCCAGATACTGGCGGGTGTTATGCCAATTGGTTTGAAAATCGTGGAGGACATCTTTTGCAAAAGGGTGAAGTGGGGCTGGAGACTCGAGGACATAAATTATACTCTACCAATTGATCTTGATCATAACATAGATTTCGAGA